GGGGGATCTGTTTGATGCTGAGGAAATATGTTAGTCTTTTAAAAGAAACAAATCACTATTCTCCACCCCTTCAAAGTGCTGGGTTTCAGCTGGGTGCCCATTACCCAGAAGACAGTAAAAAAATCACCCATTTTAGGTTTTTTTCCTTCAAAAAGGCACTTGACCAGAGTGCGTGTGAAGCACAGGCTTGGCTGGAGCTGGCGCTGCTCTTTAAGGCGATGAGAGCTGTAGGCTTAGCCTGGGGAGACCCTGCTGTGGGATGACTTTCAGCCGGGAGCGAGCCATGTTTACTGCAGCGTGAGGGTGTGGATGGGGCTGTGGCACCTGGAGTGGGCACGCTGCCACCGCCGGGTCCTTGTCCCCTTCCCTGGGGCACTTCTGCCACCACTGTGCAAAGCGAAAACAAGAGAAGGTGCCAAGAGGATCCATTCCTGGCTGAAATCACCCTTCCTCGGCAGAAGGAAGGCAGAAGATGCCTTGGGACTGTGCCGAGAGCCTCTCACTGCATCCCAAAATTGATCATCTGCGGGGGGGGGATATGTGTTGCTGATTTTGGGGATGTAACCTTTGCTCTCCGAGTCACTTGTGTCCTGGCAGTAATTACCATGAGCAGCGCCTGTGGGTCCGGGGCTGGCTGGGCCAGTGGTGGAGAGGGGCTGGGCCCATGGCTGGGCCAGTGGTGGAGAGGGGCTGGTCCCAGCTCCTTGCTCCATCCTTTGCCATGTCCTCCTCCTCTGCCACTTTTTCCTCTCCCCTCCAACCCTCACCTCCCATACCACCCCCAGAGTGCCTGGGGGCAGCTCCAGCCCATCACTTTAAGCTTTGCCAACCCCAAAGCGCAGCCAGGGCATCTTTAACCCCTGCCTGGGGGCACTGGCGAGGGCACAGGGGCTGGTGCAGGACAGACCCTGCATCCAAAGGGAAGAGGTTCCCCTCCCTTTTGCTCCTCTGTGCCTTTACTGAAGGCAGGTTTGCACACAAGGCTGTGATTGGGGGGGGGACGGGGACATGGAGTGTCCCAGTGTGGGCAGTGGGAGATGGAGGGGTGTCCCATCCTGCAGTCTCAGAACTCCCCGTGAGCATCGATGTTGAGCTTTGGTGGGGGGTGAGCTGCCCATCAGCATGGGCTGCTCCCGGTGAGGTGCTGTGCCAGATGCACTGCATCCTTGCCGCTGTGCAGCTCTGTGACCGGGTTCCCCAGGGCCGATGGCAGAGCTGTGCTGGTGTGGAGGCACCAGCTTCACCCTGCTTTGAATGGCCCTGAGGAGGTGGAGCCAGCAGGGGTGGGAAAAATCACCCCCCGAAACCTCAAATACCTCCCGGGCCCAGGCTGCAGGCACAGAGGTTGTTTGCAAACCAACCTCCCCCTGGGCAGAGCCCTCTGTGTCCAGCATCCTTCTCCCATGGCTGCTGCGCTGGAAGCATGGCTGAAGAAAGAGTGCATGGGCCCACCTGAACTGAAGGGGACAACAGTGCCAGCGTGACCCAGGAGGGGCTGTGCTGGGGGCTCAGCCCTCCACTGCAGCACCATGAGTTGCTGTGGGGTCCCCAAGGCCAGGGCATGAGGTTGCAGCGCAGTTTGGGTCACCATTGAGCAGCGAGTTGCCTTTCAGAGCTGCTCAGCCCTGGAGCTTCTCCTCCACTGGTAAGACAAGGCAGGGACCAATCCTGCACCCACCTCCGCAGGGCAGGGGGTGCTGCTCCAGCTCCCCTTTCTCCACGTGGCAGGAGCAGGGTTTTCACCCTGCTCAGAGCACACAGGAACCACACCCCACTCAAAACTGGTCCCTGATGAAGCCTCTGCAGTCAGGTGAGATTTTTGGGGGAGCGAGGGCACCCCTGTTGAGGTGACAGGACAGTTCGCTGTTAGGGCACCTGCTGAAACCAGTGCAGGAAGCTTTCAGCCTCAGAGGCTTAGTGGGTCCCCATGATTAGCAGGGTCCATCCCCCAGGAGCACATCCCGGCGGGAGCCATAGGGACCATGAGCACTGGCAGGGCACGAATGCTCCTTGGCTTGTCCAGCCATGGCCGGGGACACTTGCTGCCACTTGCTGCCTCAACAGCCACCAGTGCTGGCACAGGGACACCAGGGTGAGTCCAGCAAGTTTTCATCAGCTTCCTGGTCAGGCTGTGACCATTCGCCCTGAGCCAGGGACTCTCCAGGAGAGCTTCCCTGCAGGATCTGGAAATATCCAGTGACGGGCCATCATCACTTCCTTGAGAAACCCATTTCAAAGTATCTGGAGAGTTCAAACTGGGGCCTTCTTTCCCATTCCAGTTTGGCTGGGAGGAGCTCCAGCCCTCCGCATGTATACCTCAATGCTTAAACTCACCCACCTTTTAGTATTGGGTACATCAGGAGAAGGCACTTACGCATTTGAAGAAAATCACCTTCATCTTCGTTTCTGCAAACCTTAAGAGGATTGGGAGCTTTTCCAGGCATCAGAGTAATTTCTTGGACTCTTCTTTACACCTCCTCCAATCTTTCAAGGTCCTTTGGACAGTGCTGGAGGATACAGCCTTACCCTCACCAGGCAGAACCAGTGCTTTTGGAGGTCTGAATCCAGAGAGCTGCTTTGGACATAGGGAAGCAGCCTGGAGCCCACCTAGCCATACTCTTCCCAAGAAGTCTGCAGTGGAGCGGTTGGGAATGTCTCCCTGGGCAGGACAAGCAGAGGGGAAGCCAAAATCCTGCTTTTGCAGGAGTACCAGACCAGTGGCAGGGGGGCAGCTTGGACAGACAGTCCCAAACAGAGACCCCGCCCCAATATTCTAAATAAAAAGCTGATGAGAAGCTAGTGTCCCATGAGCATCCCACCCTTCCAGGTCCTGATGGAAGGAGGATGGACATGTCCCTTGGAAGGGTACCCTCACAATGGTCTCCTCAAGAGCATACACAGCCAAAAGGCAACATAGGATTTTGCCAGTGACCTCCAGTCCTTGGAAAGAGGCGACTTCTGGCTGTGGTGATGTTTGAAGCCCTGCAGAGATGGGTCCCCACCCCACATTTCCCAGGTCTGCCTGATCTCACCAGCCAGTACAGAGCAGTCCTTGGCCATAAGGCAACACTCTGGGTCCTCGGCTATGCAAGGACCCCAGAATTGGGGGGCTGCTCCCAGGGGAGCCATTGCCTCTCATATAGAGAGCAGGGGGCATGTTCCAAGCCGTCCCATGTGCTGGGTGGGAGACATAAATAAATACCAGAATAAATAAATACAAGTGGCAAAGAGGCCTGAAATGATGCTGTCGTTTGCTGGGAATGAGAGACACAAGTGTAATTTAGGTTTTGATATTATGAAACTCTCGCTGCTCTAAAACAGCAGGGCACTCAGTGCCTCATTAATAAAGGATAAACTTGGAGTCTATTTACAATGCACTTTTTGGGGTTATTTACACTCCATTATACATATGTAATGCTGCACATATTTACCGCTCTGTTCTGCTGCCGAGAGCAGCCGAGTTGGGAGGGAGACGGAGTGGGAAGCGGCTGATGCTGTGGAGCTGTGACCCCTGCCTTGACTGATGCCCCTTAAACATCTCGAGCTGCAGGAGAGCCCCAAGCCAGCTGCTGAGGATGGAGGGGCTGAGACCAGGCACTGGGGGACCCAGTATGGCCCAGTCCCTGTCCCCACCTGCCCAGTGCCCACCCGCCCCCGGAGGCGCCCCGGGGCTTTGCCGAGTGATGCAGAACGGGTGAGCTCCTCGCATGGGCTGGAGTCCAGCACACCAACAAGTGACCACAAGGACCAAACACGGACCTGTCATGGAGTGGGGAGCTGAAAAAAAGTGGGCTAATTACCTGCAACAAAATAAATCGTGTCTGTCTTGGCACTGGAGGATTTTGGCCATGCAGCCCTCCCCACCACACAGCTTATACCTCTTACCAGAGCACAATATTGCAGTTTCCCTGCAAACGGCAGCTCCCCAAGGGTCTGCTGGCCTGGGACCCCATGCTGTTTGTGGGAGCTGCTGTGAGGGTCCTGGGCCATGTGAGTGCCGTGCCCAGGGCAGTCCCAGGAAACAGGGTTGCCCCCACCACAGGATCCAGGGCAGAGATATGGGAGAGGTTGTGCTCGGAAAGCACTCTGAGTTCACAGGAATTCATGGGGTACAGCAAGGGGATGTGGGTGCACCCGGGACCCCTTTGTCCTCAGCAGAGTTTGGGAGGGTGCAGGGGTCCCACAGGAGCACTCTCTGCAGGGCTGGGCAGCAAGGGACTGCTTGGGGGGGGGAACGGAGGCTGGATGGTCATCCCCAGTTCTGAGGTCCTCCATGTCCTTTCTGCAATTCAGCCTGTGTTTGCATGACCAACGTGGAGATGCAAGAGCCCAGGAGCAACCCTGATCACTCATCCTAGGAAATGTGGGGTGTCTCCAACCTTCCCAGCCAGGCACAGCAGGGAGGGGGACAAGGCCCCCATCCCATCCTGCTGCTCCCCGCTGCTCCCCAGCACTGGGGAAGCACCCACCCATGCCAGCATGCTCCAGCTCACTGCCATCCTAGGTTGCACTTGCCAGGCAGCAGCTCTGGAGGCAACACTCTTTATTAAACACCTCGTGTGGGCAGGTCTTGGCATGTGCCTGGGACCAATGTGAAACCCCTGCCCCCAGGAGGTCCCCCTGTCCCTGGGAAGGCATCTGCAGTCGGTGCAGTCCTGGCACATCATCAGAGCCCATCCTGGCCCATCATCAGAGCCCATCCTGGCCACAAGCTGTGGTGGGGCAAGATGTACTGGGAGTCACAGAGCTGATCGAGTCCGAGCAAACTGGCCCTCACTTCCCTCCCCAGCCCCAAGCTTTCTCCCCCACCCCCGTCCCCCACAGCCCACCCAGGGTGGGGATCCCACAGTGGGAGGTGGGGGGCAGGTCAGGTCCGGCTGGAGCCCAAGCTCTCCAGGGAGCTGCTCTCCAAGGCCCCGTAGCCATCAAGCTTCATCATCCCGATGAGGTGGGCTGGAATGGAGAGAAAGGAGCGACGGGTGGCGAAGATGTGGCTGATCTCCATGAAGGTTTTGTTCTTGGTCTCGGGGATGATGAGGTAGACATACAGGGCCACCAGCAGACAGATGCCACAGAAAACCAGGTAGCAAAAGGCACCGGCTGACATCTGGGAACAAGAAGAGAGCAGGGACAGGGCAGAGAGCCAGGCACCCCCACGCTGGGCATGGCATGAGGCAGCATCCCCTCCTGTCCCCCTTCCCTGGGCTGACTCTGGCCAGCATCAAACCGAGCCAGGAGCATGGGCATCCCTGGGGCTAAGCTTGGCTTGGCACCCTGTCCTGGGGGAGCAGCAGGGCCGGGTCTATCCTCTCCTCCTTCCCCGGCCCCTCCAAACCAGTACCTGCAAGAAGGGGAAGATGAAGCCGATGGTGAAGTTGCAGAGCCAGTTGATGGACCCCCCCACGATGTAGGCGGCTGGGCGGTGTGACTGCGTGAAGAACTCGGCCGTCATCAGGAAGGGGACGCCGGCTGCGGAGGGAGGGGACAGATTGAGGGTACAGGGGGGCAGGCTGCATCAGGCACCCCCAGGGTCAACAGGTCCTGCCTGTCTCAGCCCTGCAGCCAAAGGGCTCGAGCCCAGCAGGACCCACAGGTCAGAGTGGTGGTGCTGGGAGAGCTGGAGGAGATGGAGAACATGGGGACGGGTGGACCAGTGTCCTGGCATCCCCCCAGCATACCACAGTTGCACCTTGCTGGGCGCTGAGGCCAATTTCACAAGTTACTTGACTGGAAAGTTTCAGATCGAGTCAAAGTCAAGGTGGAACATTTCCTCTGGATCCTCACTTTGCAATAATTTGCCTAAATGCTGATATATTAGATCTCATATAGATCACAGATATAGAGAAAAATGTTCCTGGAGCCCTCCACAATGCCCTTTCCAGCCTCCCTTGAACAAAATGGTTTAGAAAATTTCCTTCTATTGAGCAGGTAAAGGCTTGAACGCCGTGGCTGATTTGGGCAAGAAAGAAACAATCACATTTTCAAGCATCAGAATTTCCTGCAGGACACAGAAGTGCCATTTTCCAACTGGCTTTTCCCAAGTTGTACAGTGAAAAAACTCCAGAATGACTGAAGATCATTGCCCAAGCCAACTTGCCTACTAAAAACTGGACATAGGTTGTAGCTACTTCTCCTGGAAGGACTCATCCCCCCCCGCCATGTGTCGCTGAGCTGGCACCCCTGAGTCCCAGGACTGTCTCTTTGCTGGAGGGCAGGATCCAAGGTCCGGTGCACATCCCAGGGCACACAGGGATCTGGCAGGGTATTTGACGTGGTGACATGGCTGGGGTCCCACTGCCTGGGACAGGGCTGACTGGGACCTCTTTGTAAAAGGTGCTCCAATGGAAAAGACAAACAAAAAAAAAGTGCGAGTAAGTGAAGGAGGAGTGGAGCCCCTGACGGACTCTTACTCACAGCTCGCCCAGAATAGAGATATATATTTTTTTGTTTTAAAACTCCTATTCATCATTGTTTGTGAACAATGAGCCATTAAAATCCTAATTAAAGATGTAATTACAGTGAATAAAGTCTGGGCTGAGGATGAATTATAGATCTGTTAACAGCTCTGCTAATACATCAACTGGGTAAACCAGTCCAGGTTTCACCCCTCGCTGTTTGAGCCCGCTCTCGTGCCCGTGCTCGGTCAGGGGCAGGATGATGCTCACTGTGATGCCAGCAGGTGACACCTCCAGAGGTCTGGGGAAGGCTGCCAGGACTTTCTCACTGCTTGGCCCTGGATTAGGGATGAGGAAGAGGTGGAGCAAGCCCCACCTCCAGGGCTGGAGAGGCTTGTGGCGGGGTTTTGCTCACGGGGTGCAGCATGATAAACCAGGGGCTGGCCACGGGGAAGGGGCCAAGGCGCTGGTCCTGCCACCTGCCTGCAAACCCCACTGCTCCCTGCTCCCCTGGGGCCCCCATTCCTGCCCCACCACCGCCCGCTCCCACTGGTCCCAGACCCACCTGGTCCCATGCAGAAGCCAGCAATGATGCCGATCACACAAGCGACGCTGACGTAGCGCATCCAGGGCAAGTCGGTCTGCGAAGGGACATGGGCTGGGGGATGCTGCCGGGGCAGTGGCCTCAAGCTTCATGCCCAGCATCCCCAGGACGGGGCTTCGTGCCTGCCCCTTGGCTGGGTGGCAGCCCTTGGGGACAGTGGCCATGCAGGACACATGGGGGGGATGCAGACAAGTGGTTTGGGGCAAAGCTGGTAAGGGTCAGCCTCAGCAAATCTCAGCAACTCATGATGCTGAGATGTCCCCAGAGCTGCAGGAGCATACCCTGGGATCCCCTCCGGGCAGCAGAGGAAGGACCCTGCAGACCTTTCCACCTCCCCTGACATTTCACAGCCGCCTCCCTGGGGACTATTTCTGCAGAAAAGCTACCAGAAGCGGCAGGGATTTTATCACATGGATTTGGATTTTCTTTTTTGTTGTTCTTTGCTCTGAATTTTCCTTCCCTTTAACTTTGAAGGGAAAACATTGCTTGGAAGAGCCAGTTCACCTCTCATTTTCATGCACACTCCCTCCCCTGGGGTGATATCCATCCCTTCATCACCCAGCCCTTGTTAATGCACCCAGGGCTCCAGCCCCAGACATGTCAGTGGCCCAGGGGGGTGGTGGTGGCCAGAGCCTACCTGCAGCAGCAGGGAGACGGTGATGCCAGCCGAGCAGATGCCCATGGCGCAGAAGCCAGTGATGATGAGCGGCCGCCGGCCCAGCTTCTCGATAGTAAAGCACTGCCAAGGGAAAGCAGAGACTGATGGGGTGGTGGGGAGCTCCCCATCAGGACGGGGGCACCCCCTGAACCCCAGATCAAGCTGAAGGTGGTAGGATGCTCCCAGTGGCATCTGGGGGTTGGGGGCAGCTTCAGCTCAGAGCTCCAGGGTTGGGGCCAGGACATGGGAAGAGCCAGGACTCCGGGGTCCCAGGGTGAAGGTGCACCAGGCAGCAGTAGGGTCCTGCAGAGCCCCATCAGGGTGCAGGGTCGGGGCTGGCTGGTGTGGCCCCCCAGCCGCATTCGCACCGGTGCCAAGCAGAGGTGCTGGGCTGGGCACAGGGTGTTTGTGGGGCAGTGGGCAGAGGAGGCAGGGTGCGGGCAGACAGCGCAGCAGCGGCTGGAGCAGGCAGCGTATTGACAGCTGAACAAATGCCTGTAATTTTATAACCAATCTCGGCACATCCGTCGGGGGCCATTTGCAGGGCTGCCCCCGGGCAAT